CTTAACATTTTCTCATCTATTCAATGACTTTCATCCAGTGAACACAAATGACTACAAATGCACTCATCTTGAAACATTCCAATGTGATAAGCATATTATCTTTCGATAGCTTTTTGGATTATGTTCAGGGACATACTGAAGGGGCAGAGAGAGGAGAAGGTTCACATTAGTGAGCTGATGTGTTGGTCCATTCATCCTGTTTGCTTACGATCTCAGAGGGAGCAAAACTTCACCTCTGATTCAGATTTATGATATATGAGTGCATAAATCCTTATTCTTTTCTTCTTATTTCCTGTCACCTTTATTTTTCTCTACATTTACCACCATCTGGCCATGCCTGCTTGTTGTGCCTTGTTCTCTGATTGCATGGTAATTTTCTTTTTTTTTTTTTATAAGAGAGCTTGTTGGAAGAGCTCTCCGTAGGAATGGAACAGACTCAGAAATACTGCACTTATGAAATTAAATTAATTAAATATGATTAACAAATATAAATGACTCATCCAACCACCACGTTGGCTTGTCCAGGAACTCTAGATCAGATTATAAAGCAAAGGCCTTACCTGGGTACCAGTAGATTAAAGAATCTGATGAGTTTTATGACTCTTGAGGTGGCTGCAATTTTATTAGCACAAACATTCAAAATTTTTATCCTTGGATAGTACTGAATTCCACTAACTTTGATGTCTTACCTTACATTACCCCCAAATAAGCCTTAAACAATCAGCTCTGAGCATTTCAGATATTCTACAACTAAAGGGTAGCCCATGTGATCTAAAGTCAGAAAATCCAGGCTCCAACCTCAGCTCTAAAACTTATTGTATGATGATAGACAAGTTACTTCACTCTTTAAGCCTTAGTTTCCTGACCTAGAGGATAAATAGAAGAACTGTCCTAACTACTTGACAGGATTTTTATAAAGATCAAGAAAAAGCAAGTCTATGAAAATATTTTATAGTGTTATATATGCAAAGGAATAAAAATGTTTGTTATCATGACAATAATAAATAATTATGCCATTAGAAGGGCTAACAGTTTTGTCCTATTTTTTTTTCCTTTTCTGTTAGTGTTTATTAAATGTGTTAATACATGCTAAAATAGTATCTGGTATTTAATGCTTAATAAATGATAGCTATTAACATTATTATCACAAGGGTATGTTTTCCAAAGGTCTTTATTATGTCTGAAAATATGATAAAAGAAGTGATCTCCTGGGGATTAAGGTAAAGCAGTTACAGAAGAATAATCTGCCCAATCAATATAATTGCCTATTTCCCACCCTTACTTTAAGTTAGTTAGGAAAGGTAAGAGTAAGAAGAGATAAATATGGGAGCATTAATCTCAAAAAAGAGTAGATTAAAATTAGAAGACTGACAGAGAGTGTCCAAAAGAAGTTTATTGTCCCACAATCCCTTTGACTCCTTCTCTTGACTACTGACTTTCTGTGTAACCTTAAAAAGAGACGTTTAACCACTTGGTCTTCCCAGGTAAAATTCTGATACCTTCTACCCGTCCAAATATATTGATTATATGTTTATCAGAATATATCAAAATACAGTTTAATATAAGTTTCTTCAAAAGAAGCAAGATGCTAACAAATCCAGAGAGAACCAGATGTTTTTTTTCTTTTTCTCTCTCTTTCCTCCTTCCCTCTCTCTACCTACCTACCTACTTAGTTAACTACCTAACTATCTACCTAATTTATTACTCTCACACACACACGTTTTGGTTGTGGTAATATTGTGGGAAGGATCAATTTATTAGCAGTTATCAGATAAAATTTTTAGATAGGAAATTATTAACGTTATAACCAAGGTTTAGAATACAGGAAAAAAAAAAAAAAAAAGAATTCCTGACAAAGGTTTTCTTCACATTACTCATCACCATCTTCATCTATCACTCCTCTCCCTTTTTTATGTGGAAATATTTTATTGGTCTGTGAGAGATAGTGCAACAATATCAACACTTTTATATCAGGAAAGCTAGTACTCCATTTACTCTGTTCTTTCTATCCTGTGAACAGAGGATAACATATACACTGCATATGTGAAATTAAGTGATTAGAGTCATATTAGGAAAATGCCTCTTCCAAAAGTTAAATGCAGTTGTCTGAAGTATATAATGGTTTTAAGAACTCAGAAATCCTCTTTCAATAGGATAAAAGATGATCAAGTTATGGGTTAGGATATAAACATGAGTTATCTTACAAATCAAACATATACATATACGCAATATATATTTTTTTCATAGTAGAGAATAAGAAAATTAAATATTCTGAGAAGAAAATCTATTTCCTTGACTGAGATGGCATATTAAATAGGTCAAGGAGATAGAAATATAGATCCAATGAGTGGGAAGAGAGAAAACTAAACAAAGTAAGATCATATAATGCAATTGTAAGGATGATTTATCTTTCAATATTTTTCTATATGATCTTTCTATGAACTTTCCTTGGTGAGAAATAGAATTCAAAATACCTCATATTTCAGGTTCACACAAACTTTGGGGTGAAAGATTGGTTTTATAAAAATATTTCAACTACAGATTATTGGATTTGGGTTATGGATAGAGAAGAGCACTGCTTACTTTATTTCCCACTTAAAAGAGAAGAAGCTAGAAAGAAAAAGAGTAATGAAATATACATAATGAAATACTGAAAAATCAGAACTCTAAATTAACAAAATAACGTTTTTAAAATAAAAAATGTAGTTAATATTTTCTACTAAACAACAAAAACTAAACTATTACACTCCATTTAAGATTGTTTTAAATTAAATAAAATCAAATATATGGTAGTATTTACTGAAGCTTAAGAATAGAAAAAGATACACAACATGCACATGCACACACATGAATAGACTAGCGACAGTAGAAGAAAACACATTATGTGAGAATCCTAGATTACTCATTTCCCATTCAGATAATGAGAGAAGTGCAGTCTAAAAAAATGAAATTAATTTACGCTGTTTTATAGGCTTAAAATATGAATATCTGAAATTATGTACTTTGAATAACCAACAGTTACTCAGCATAGTTATATTATTATTATTTAAGGGGCTAGCTGTTTTGCATCATGTAGACACCATCTAAATTTAACCATCGTTTATCTTACTTTATTCTTCCTACTTTATGGGATCACTACTCAACTGCATGCAACAGCTGTATGAAAACACCTATATCATGTAGAGTTTGTGATAAGCACAGCACATTAATGACTATCGAAAATCTTAAGGAATATCAGGATCCTTATATCACTTAATCTCACTGTGAAAAGATTGAGGATTTGGAGAATCCTCATTTGAAAACCTTAATCAGAACATTTTATGGTAGATATCACAAATGGACTATGACAGTCATTTCAGCTAGGAACATACTGGCCTCAGCTACTACCCACCAATGAGAGTTGGCTCTGTTTGTGATCCTTATTTTACAGGAACATAAAACTGTATGACAGAAATTCATTTTCTATGCTTTTAAATTTCTCAAATTTAAATGCCTAGAAATGACAGAACAAATGAAAAATATTTTCAGAAAAAGGATGTATTTTAAATGAGGTTGAAAAAACTAGATATTTCACAGGGTTATTACTGCATTGCATTATTTGAAAGTGTAGTGCTAGCCTTGTTACAATTCTGTACCATCATCCACTGAGGACGCATCTCAGAACCATCATTATGTGCCATATCCAGAAAACAAATGTGCTGAGCACTCTACAACAAATGGGCCTTAACAAAGCTGACAAAGGCAAGGAAAAATGAAAAGAAATGTTAGACGGGAAGAGAAGATCAAATAATTAACAATGTAGTCCAGAAAGTTGTAGTCTAACAAGGATTATGATTAAAGTAAAATTCACCAATAGTGTAAATGTATTTAAAGTGGACTTTCTTAACAAATCCTGATTTAATCTAATGGGTCATTGGGCCTTAATCATTATTTTTAATAATCATTTTAACCAATTACTCTTCTCAAATTATCACTAAATAATTCATATCTCAAGTAATTTTAAAGAAAAATACCAAGAGTCTCAAATACAAATGATTTACCAGGTAAAATTTAATTTTACACAATTTGTATTTTTCTAATGAATATTTTTAAACAAAAGATAGAGTTAAAAAAAAAAAAAAACTGCTATGACTTAGCAGCTTTTCACCCAACAACCAGCTTCTCAGTAAAACCCATGATTTTTCTTTAACCCACATTCTATTACCTAAGATCCTAAAAGTCTACTTTGTGGAGGATAGAATAGTCCAGAATAGCCTTGATCACAATTTGAGATTATATATTAAACTGAGGGTTTATTTAATGTGTGTTTCCTCCACCAGCCTGTATACTCTGTGAGGTCAAGGCCATGTCTACTTTATTCACTGCTGTGTGCCTAGAACAAAATAGGCCATCAAAAAAGACTGAACACAGTAGAACACCCTACTATTCACCCCTATCCACCCCTAACACACATTTAACTTTGGTGATTATTCTGAAAACTAAAAAACAGGGAACTGTTTTCTGCATCTTTTTCACTTCTCTGCTTTCAGTCCATGTCTGGTCCACTGTACTTTGGTTGTAAGAAACATAATTCTATTAATGTTCTTTTCACACTGCATCATAACTGACTACCCACCCCCCCAAAGGAAATGAACTAGCTATTTGTGTCCCTATTAACCTGACAATACCAGATGATTTTTTTTTGTTTACTTTTTAACTAGCATCAAGAAATGGCTTATGAAAATATACATGCATTAGCTCAGAATATAGGGAAGTACTAGGTAGGATAAAAGAGAAACTGTATGAAATCAAATAAAGTCAATAATTACAGCAAACACAATAAATCACCTACCTCCTTCTAGTTATGAATTAACAGGATTAAAAAAAAAAAGTAAAGTATCTCCCAAAAGAAGAGTCCTACACATTTAACAACAACAAAGCACCAAGAGTCCTATTCTTTTTTCTATGTAAAATAATTCCTTTACAATCTTTTCAGTAAAAAGCCAGAAAGAAATACATACATGACGGTGTTAATGCCTGAGAGCTGTTGGAACATTTGTAGGCCACAACCCACAATTAAAGCTCGGCGAGTTGGGGGATAACTCAGCATTCTGCAGATCACAGGTCCAGCTTTTTTTAAAAAGAAAGAAAAAGAAGGACACATCTATTATTTTCAGTTCCCACAGTAATTTATCCCATTAGGATAAATTTCCCCAAATTTCCATGAAATCAACATGACTGGACGTTTCAAAACAGAACATATATACTTTTACAGAAATCTAGGCACAATGTATTTTTTCAAACAGACTTGGTGTATATATTGTTAAGTGTAAACTGTAAAAGCAACAAGAAATAATGCAAGTTAAAGCAATTTATGAATACCAGGAAGACCTACATAACTGTCAGAAACCATTCTTCCTTAAATCCCTATGAGTTATATTAACTACTCTTTGTGCTTCCACTTTCTTGGCAATTAATTATTACCTAAAATCTATTCAATGTAGGACTACTTACAAAGTCACTGGCAAATTGCTTTAATCAACCCCCCAAATGGCATTCATTAAAAACAATTAAACAAGGAACAGAATTCATTCCAATTTATTTGACTAAAATAACAACATTCATTCTAATCTATTCAACTAAAGTTGGAAATTTGGGCATGATATCAGACGGTTATGGCTACAATGAATGTTATTAATAAAAATTACCAAAAATAAAGGAAAAATTAATGTTACATACACACACACACACACATAATTTCTAGATTTTGGATAGGTCCTCAAGTGGCATTCAGTGATCATTTCAAAATACAAACAGGCTTTCAAAATATCGCAGATAACCTTGGTGTCTCTATCAGAACTCTAGATCAATATTGGAAAGCTGTAGGTATGAACCACTGAGGCCTTAAAAAGGTGACTAACCTCAATGATAATTGTTATCTGGAAAAAATTACTAAAAGTACCCCTTCTATTCTTAGAAGTGCTTCGCCTGAGCCTTAAGAGGTATTCTAGATGGTATCCTTATGGGGCCAGAGTTGACTGTTAGAAAAGATGGCCTGAAATCACTGAGATGTTAGTTGCTTAATTAGAGTCACTTTTTCTGGAGTCCAACCTTCATAGTGAACTCTAAACCGAGTCAAGAGAACTAAAATCTAAAGAAGTTCACCATTTCAGTAATCTTTTGGAAATCTAATATTCCAGTTAACAGAAATATAATAAAATATACTGTTGTCTCAGCAATACAAGTTAATATGAGACATCAATTAACTAATTAGGGCATTAATTGGAACTGAATACTACAGGAATGAGAATATTCACCTCTACATGGATGTGATCATAACCCCATAAAGACTTGAATTACTGCAAATGATTTTGTCTCTAAATGGTAAGACAGGACCTAGAGAGAGAAGCGCTGATGGTCATTCAAAGTTCAGTGCAGTGACAACGCATTTACAAAGCAGGTTGTATTATAAATGTCAAGTTGTTTTAGAGTCAAGAAAAGCAGTATTAAAACCTAGAATATATCAGAAAAGTTGTGTGAAATAGGTAGATTTTGAGAGCTTTACTATGACAATATTAAAATGTTATCTGGATCAGTTATCTGAGGATGAGTGAGCTCAATTGCAAATTTAGAGATCTATAAATGAGCCACAAAATAAGAAATGTAAACAGCATCCTATAAATACCTACTTATGTCCATAAACCAAAAAATTCCAATAAAAAGGGTTGTTAATTACCTTCTGAACCATGAGAAATTTATAAAACAACAATGACAACAAAACAAACAAGCAAAACCCCTTTTCAGCTTTTTATGGCCTCCACAAATGAGAAACTAGCCTTCTATAAGAAATCTATAATCTTTGGACATCTGCCTCTACTCTCACTATAAACTGCTCCGTGATTTGATGGACAGATTAGGTAATATTGATTTTGATGGACAAAAAAATAAAGAGAAAATTATGACAATTTAGGATTAAAGTGATTCGCCAAAGTATCAAAAGATAAACTATTACATAAACCACATATCTACTTCCTAGTTTCTGATAATCTGGTTTTGGACTTTCTCTTGGTTTGAATTTCCTATTAAAAATAAACAATGATAATTTCTTTAGTAGGCTGGATTTTTTTAAAAATAGGTAAATTTTGGTCACACAAAATTTAAAAATTCCTGCACATCTGACTATGCATACACAAAATTAAAAAATTCCTTCTATTAAAGTCATAAACGTAGCTTTATGAGGCAGTAAAATTTGACAAATGCAAACCATCATTAATCTGTATATCACGGGAGCTAGAGCCAAAAGAAAAAAATCAAATATGTTGATTGGCTGAATGTTCATAAGTGAAAATTTAAAATGCCATGCTCTACTTATTACATCTTTTGATTTTTGAAATTAAAAACATTTTGTGTATACAAACAATTCACAATTAAAAAAAATTGTGTCTGTGAAATACAGAAATTCCCACATAATAAAAACTAAACCTCTAAACAACTAAAGTAGGTTGGAAATGCAAGATTCATTCAGATAACACATAATATAATAGATGCAAGGACTCAAAATGGGTTCATCTTTTCCTTCATTCTGAACACCTCTTACTAACTTTTACAATGGTTGTCCAGGTGTGGCAAGGGTTCTGATGGCATAAATGATAAGGACAGTCCCACAAATGCAGCCATTCTTGTGGATGGGTTGTCTGTGAGTGAGCCAAGGCTATGAAAGCTTCTCCAGGTATGATTCGAAATGCACTAGAGTATATTCTGTATAAAATCCTAGCTCTTGATTTCCACTTCCAGCCAAGATGGAGTAATAGTTACCAGATTTACCTACAACATTAAACAACTAAAAAAACCATGCAAAAATAAATGAAACAATTGTTCACATGATAATGGAACAAAGGATAGTGACTCCCGAGGTTCATGAAATAGATGAGATGAACCCTACAACCATTCTGGCATACTGCCTTGAAAAAGCTTCAAGGCTGTAGCACAGGGAGGGGAAACCAGGCAGACCCTGGTGCTCTCCTTGAGTTGAAAAGATGCAGCTCAGAATCTAGGAATGCCAAGATGGCTAGTGTTCATAGGGCAAAATGTCAAAGAAAGAGATTCATAAGGGAGGACAGTGAAGATCTGCAGTCCCTTCCCCAGCCTCTGCCACTCTAATATTCAGTTGAGTACCAATCAGTGGTTATGTGTGGGGAAACTACCCAAGGCAGGGGAAAGAGCCAAAGGAAAGAACTGAAGAAATCAATCCCAGAATTTACACAGGTCTGGGAACAAGACCTGTTCCTTCCAACCAGAGTGAAAAACCTAGACCATAAGAAAGTGTATTTAGGAGGGTTTTGTATAATGGTATAAGTTTAGTGCCAGATTAAACATTGCTTGGGTTCCATCTAAAACAGTTTGAAAGCAAGACCCAAGTGCTTTCAAATAATGGAATAGAGTTCCAGAATAAAGTTCAACAGCAAGATAAAATTTATAAAGCCTGGCATACAAAAAAAAATTATCAGGCATACAAAAAGGCAGAAAAGTACAACCTGTAACAGTAAGAGAATTAATTCATCAAGAGAACATAACAAATCTAAATGTCTAGGTACCTAATAAGAGCTTCAAAATATATGAAACGAAAACTGATACAATCACAAGAGGAAATACAAAAATCCACAGTTATACTCAGATATTTCATCACCCATTTCTCAATAACCGATAGAATAAGTAGGCTGAAAATCAGCAAAGGTACAAAAGACCTCAACAACACTATCAACATTTTAACCAATTACTAAATGATATTTAGACAACACCCTCCCAACCAAGAGCAGAATACACATTCTTTCCAAGAGTATACATGTGGTAAATGTCATTAAAACATTTACCAAGATAGATTATATTTTGAGGTCTAATACCAGTCTCAATTAATTTAAAAGGATTCAAGTGATACAAAATATGTTCTGTGGCCATAATAAATTAATATAGAAATCAATAACTAAAAGATAACTGAAAAATTCCCCCCAAGCTGGACGAAAAATAACACCTTTCCATGGAGCAAAGAAATAATGGGAAATTAGATTTTGAACTGAAAGAATGTGAAAATGCAGAATATGAAAATTTGTGAAATGGAGCTAAAGTAGAATCAAGGAAATTTTATAGCAATGACCTTGGCTTCTACCTATAAAACCAGAAAAAGAGGGACAAATGGAACCCCAAATAAGTACAAGATAAAAATAATAATAAAGATCGTATGGAAATCCATGAAATAGATACGGAGACAGTTGGAAAAAAATCAATAGTACCAAAAGCTGTTTTTTTTAAATATCAGTAAAAATGATAAACTTTAGGCCCAATAATGGACTCTCAAAAGACACGCACATCCTAATAACTGGAATGTTAGACAGTAAATTATATGTATATGATTAAGGATTTTTGAGATGGGATGATCATCCTGTATTATTTGAGCTGACCCTATATGCAATTACAGCTATTAGAGGGAGGCAAAGGGAGATTCGATACAGAATGGAAGAAGGCAATGTGACCATGAATGTAGACACTGGGCTGATGCAGCCATAAGCCAAGGAATGCTGGCCGTCACCAGAAGCTGGGAATAGCAAGAGACAGAATGTCCCCTACAGCCTCTGGAGGGAGCCCTGCAGACACCTTGATTTCAACCTGGTGAACTGATTTTGAACTTGTGGACATCAGACTGTGAGAATAAATTTCTCTTGTTTTAAGCTACCAAGTTTGTGGTAATTTGTTACAGTAGCCATGGGAAATGAATACACAGAAGGGCCAGGAGAAAAGAGAAGACATAAATTGCCAATATCATGAGTAAGAGAAGTAAAATCAATACAGATTCTACAGATATTTAAAATAATAATAAAGAAATGTTATAAGCAACTTTATGGCATTAAATTCATTTCATCATCTTAGATATAATAGGCAAATTCCTTAAAAAACAGAATCTTCCAAATCTAATTCAAGAAATAGCCTAAATATATAGCCCTATAAGCCATTAAAAATACTAAATTTGTAATTAAAAACTACAAAGCAAAAACTTCCTCCCAAGTCTAAATGGTTTTATAGAATGTGGATCAGTGGTTACCTGCAGAAGGAACAGTTTCAAAAGAGCACAAAGAAAA